TTACCACCAACCAAAGTGATGAGTCAAGACTGCAACAGCTCACATCCTCTGTGGCTCACCAGAGAGACCTCTAACACCAAAAGACTCTAGCTGCATGTCAGTGACTTCAATTCCAATTTTCCCATCTAATTGTTTAACAACAAAAGCCTGCAAAAAAAAGAAGTCTGACTAACTAATCATGAGTATTGCTTCCTGTTTTCTGAAGCTAAACCCAGAACAACGGTTTGTGTAATGATGATGAACTGTTAAATAAAATTAAGTCTCCTTCCCTATGGACTTCATAATAAAAATTGTAAACAATGTTTGGCAATCAAAGCTGCAGGCCTATGGGGTGTCATTCCCACATGGCATGAATTAGTGGAGAAAGGTTCGTTGTGCTTCCCTTCCCTAGCTGCCCACCCCTCCCTGGGTTTTGCATGTGCTAGCTTTGGACAGGGATGACTCAGCTGCTGGTGAATCACCTGCTGAAGTGCTCAAAGTGCTTGGCTGCAGTTCCTCAAGAAACAGCGAACTGTCAAGGCAGACTGGCAAGAGAATAATCCTCTGCAGCTGGGAGAATTTTTGTGCTTGCACATCTTGATTTAGAGTTCGCACAGATACTACTGTGATTTCAAAAATGCATATTGAAATGTTGCTTGCTAAAAAACTTCCTTGTGCAACTGCTTATTCATGATAGGGATTTTCATAGGCATTGCTCAAAAGCTTTTTTCATGAGACAACTGGTTGGTGAATGGCTCATGTACAATATAACTGGAGAAATACTCCTAAGGGATGTTTCACTGTTTTCCTATTGGTGACCTGAAAAGTAAGGGAATATTCCAACCAGGGAGATTGTTCCAGAAAAATATATGAGGTCTAGTAAATTCTTCTGAAATCTTGCTATTTCAAATTACTGTTTTCTGGATTGGTGGTCGTGGAGAAAGACAGAAGGAAAACTAAAAACCACATGGAAAGCTGCCAGGCTCAACATCCCTACATGTCCAACCAGCTGCTCAGGAGAAAAACATGAAAAACTTATTGTCCCTATGTGGCAAATCTAAATGTCTTTTACAAACAGAGCCTGTTTCAGAGATACAAAGCAATGTTAGTGTATTACAATAATTTTTAACTTATGTATCAATGTGCCTTTTGGACTATTTTATTCAGTGTTGGTATCGTCTTCACCTTAGTAGTCAAAGAATCACAGAATCTTTCAACTTGGAAAAGACCTCTGAGGTCATTGAGTCCAATCTATGACCAAACACCACCATGTCAACTAGGCCATGGTACTGTCACATCCAGTCTTTCTTTAAACACTGCCAGGGATGGTGACTCTATCCCCTCCCTGGACATTCAATGCTTAACAACCCTTTCTATGAAAAAGTTCCTCCTGATGTTCAGCCTGAACCTCCCCTGGCACAGCTTAAGGCTGTGTGTGTGCTCTCATCCTGACATGTGTTACCTGGGAAAAGAGGCCACCTCCCTGCCTTGCTCCTTTCAGTAAACTGCAGAGTGATAAGGCCCCACCAGAGCCTCCTTTGCTCCAGGCTGAACAGCCCCAGCTCCTCATCAGACTTGTGCTCCAGACCCTTCACCAGCTTTGCTGCCTTTCTCTGGAAATGCTCCAGAACCAAAATGTCCCTCCTGATCTGAGGGGCTGAGAACTGAACACAGGACTCAAGGCATGGGTACAGGGGGACAATCCCTGCCCTGGTCCTGGTGGCCACACTATTGCTGATACAGGCCAGGATGCCACTGGCCTTCTTGGCCACCTGGGCACATGCTGGCTCATGTTCAGGTGCTGTTGCCCAGCACCTCCAGGTCGTTTTCCACCAGGCTGCTTTTGGGCCACTCTGCCCCAGCCCGTACAGGCAGTAGTAGCGTACAGTGTATAGTAGTTGTGTATATGCCAGCAGCCTGTTCTCAGCAACAGCAGCACCAGCTGCCCTGCTGATCAGCAGACACTGTGAGGAGATCATCCTCAAGCCTCTCTTGTGGCCCCAAGGAAGAACCAGCATGTGGAGAACAGCAGTGTCATGGCTCCTGTTTAGCTGGTTATCCAGGTCACTCTTTCCCAACATATCATCATCTTTGTCAGCATCTTCTGAGCCAAAATCCTCTTTCAAACCAATGGCTGCACAATGATGGTTAAATTCCTGTCATGTAGGGTGGAGAAAACAGAGCCAAAAAGGATTATTCAAAGTTATGTATCTGTGTAACTTCTCATTGTGGCAAAGCCAGAGGGTTCATCACCTGGCAGGACCAAGGTAAACAAACAAGTCTATTTCTATCAATTCTTATTTTTGGAACAAGTCTGATATTATTAACATTTTTGTGGGGGAAGATCCAAGGATGTGGCAGAATCCCAATATAAGCTAGGTTTGCTCATATAATCTCTCAATAAGCCTTCAAACTAGTCTTATGACAAGCATATTGTTTGAAAAACAGATAGGGGATTTACTCAAAGGCATTCCTTCACGTATTTTCCCATGAATATTCCACATTAGTAATATTAAAAAATAGTCTATTGTCTGGAATAGCAGACATTGGACTTGGTGCTATTTGAGGGTCATACACACAGAACTAGTGATCCAAAACACCACCTCATGCAGAATGCAAATATTCATATATATGCAGAAAAGCAAATGCAAGGGTGTGCACACCTCTCCAAGTGCTGCCTACTCCAATCCCATTCCAGCCTCAGTGGAAAGCCATTGCTAAATTGTGTGTACTTAGTTGCATCACAGCATACACAAATCTTAAACACAAACAATTACTATCAGCATTGTACTGACTGTGATTTGCCTTTTTTTTGTCTTTCTACCTCATTTTCTTTTCAAACCATCAGCCACTTTAATGTTGGAAGTCTCCATACCACTGAAGCTAACTATTTAGATTATGTTAACTGTAATCTAAAGTTAAGCATAACATATGTGTGTGCAAGTTTATAGGTATTTATCTTTTTCTTCTAAGACAATTATTTTTGTTAAGACAAAATTACTTTAAGAGACTATAGTCCAGTTACAATCAATCAATTTTGCTAATCTCTAAAAATATCCAAGGTAACAGTAGTCAATTTATAGCAGTCCTTTCTCTATGGAGGCAAAATACAAAGGTTCTTAAAATTTTCCATCCAAGTCTCATTACAGTCCAGCTAGGGAGTGGCAACAGGATGAAAGCCAAGGAATTTCCAGAAATCTTGAAGTGCTACTAAGTCACTACTGACACAGTGCCCTGATATTTGCTTGATGAAAGATGCAGGGCCATTCTGCCCCTAATTAGCAGATATTATCAATGCATCCCAAAAAAAATTCTTGCCTGCTTACAGTGGGGAAAGAAAAAGGATACTTACTTCCCCATTTAGGAAAAAACCACAAGCTTTTAGCACTCTTTGACCCCAGTCTTTGGAAAAGTCTATTTTAGCTAACACATTTTCTAAGTCACTTCCTCAATTCAAGTCATTTTTTATTCACATTATATTTGGTTTACAGTTTAAAAGATTAATACATCTATTGATGTGAAAATACCCTAAAAAATATTAGTATGTGTATAAAATCTGGACACCAGTCCTGTGGCAGAATGTCTCCCAAAACAGGTTTAATGGAATACACAGAGGAGAAGCCCTAATGAATCCTGAACTTCATTAGCCACCACAGAAGCTCTAGTGGTTTACATGCAGGAATGTAAGAATGGACATTGTAGATTTCCTTGGGGTGATTTCCTGGATTTCAAAGTGGCAAGATCACATGCTTCAACATAGTTATGAGAATTTGTATTTGGTTGCAAAGGCATAATTTATTGCACTATTCTGTCTCCTTCAAAACCCTCAGAAAAAGAATTGGTGTGAACCCTGAACTTGTCCCTTAGCTTGTTCTCTTGATCTCCTTAGACTTCTGCTGCTACTTTCTGTTTTTTAAGCAACACTATTAAAAAGAAAAAAAAAAAAAAAAACAAACAAAAAAAAACCAACCAACCAACCAAAACCAAAAATCAAAAAAACCAAATAAATCAATCTGTAACACAGGTGGAGAACATGGGTAGATATTCCTGGTATGTCTTTGTGGCTTTTTCTGCTGTAATACAACAAAACAGAAAAGCATATATATATATATATATAAGAGAATAACACAGGACAGGCCTTCACACTGGAAATAATGCAACAGCTCTTTCTGTGGATGTGAAAAATCCATTGTTTCCACGCCATGTTCTAAAAAATAATGTTAAAATGGCTAGGCTTATGGCTGGCTGAATAAAAATAAATGCTGTGAACATGCCACTGTCTCCTTAGTCTAGGTTCCTAGTAGTCAGGGGTACTACCCCATAAAATGTTTGTGATAAGAGATTAAATAATCTGACAGACAAGTAACTACCTGGCTTCAGATGTAAATTTCAAACTGGCTACAGTACACTAAATTGCAAAAACTAGATGAAAAGACTTTTAAAAGGGGATAGGCTTGGAAACCTTCCTGTCTGCCTCTTTATACTGCTGTGCATGCAGAATCAAAACAAAATCTAAACATTATACTTCATATATGTATAACTGAAGTGTGAATATATATATATATATATATATATATATATATATATATATATATATCTCCTAGATTCCATTCTTCCAAAGTGCTTATCCTTTTTACAAAATACCTTGTTTGTGAGACACAATGCAAACCTACCCCTATTTTAGGTCTGGAAATTCTCTAGAACAGTAGAAATTGATCCAGCCTTCAAGAATCCTGTGGACCAAAAGGAAGTCTTCTGATACATCCCACAAGGAGACCATATACCAACTATTACTCATCAACAATATCACCAATATCATCCTTCCCTCTTGTCTTGCACTCGCCACATATTTAGTGGATTTCCATTTGAACTGGTGAATTAAAGTTCCTCACTTTTTTTATCCCTCCTCCAGTCTTCTTTTCTAAGGGGGTTTTCCACTTTGGATACTGTAGTTCTTTTCCAACAACTGTAGCTGCCTCATTCCAAATCTAGGAAAAAGCAGATGCCAGGACATTATTTCTTGAATGTGAAGCAATTGTTTAAGTGCTCTCTCCCCTTTGAATGGGAGCTGAAAACTTGACCCATTTAGACAGGCAGAATTACAATCACACACAAATTAAAAGCAAAGATACTTTGTTTTTACAATTACCTGAATGCTAAGGACCAATCCATAATCCCTAAGATGTTGTAATAAATGTCATTGAAGATAAAATTATCTGGATCTAAAAGCATGAAAGAGGGCAGTCAGACATTTCATTGTCAACGTGGAAAAAATAAAGGTTGAATAAACTGGTTTCATAGCTGTCTTCCAAGCCCTTGGCTCAGAAGCGAGGTTGGAAACAGATTTCTGCCTCTTGCTGCCGGTGGAGATAATTGCTACAGCAGGCCCTAACTGCTTCAAGTATTTTTATTTTCTTTTTGGTGGAATTAACTTGGTGGGTGTTTTTTTTGTTTTGTTTTTTTGTTTTAAGGAAATTTTAACACAGAAATTTCAACTAGGCACAGTGTCAATTACTCCCATCCTCTGTTAAGAGACTGACTAAATACCAGAGGGTAGAAATTACATACTTCCTGAAGGAAAACCTGCAAACAAGCACCTCACCTGACTATTCTAGTGATATTTGCTCTTTCTGCATACAGCACCCTTGACAGATGTGATTTCTTGGAATTGACAGCTTTCTCTTAACTTGTTAGAAGCTCCGCAAAACACAGGTAGGACATTCTGCAGTAACTGTAGCATGATTCAAATCAGTTTTGTAACTTTATTAGCTGTGCATGGTGAATTGCATGAGTGTGCTTCAGGGTTAATCATCCTTATCATGACAGAAATATGCAGACAATAAATAATGCAAAGTGTGTTTTCTAGAATACAGAGAAGACCTTCCATGTTAACCTTCCAACGAGAATTCCCATTTCTGGGGAACAATCATTAAAGACCATGTGCTCAACAGATTCCTCAGCTATCATGTATCACCTTGCATTGATCTCTGAGCAAGCTGCCTTTACAGCAATACAGTTAATAGAGGTGATGCAGATACCTGCCCAGGGGAACTGCACCATCACCCAGGTAGCCTAGAAAATGGCACCTTCTAGGCATGAAGTTTATGGTACCAACAGGCCAAACTTGTTCAGCTAGAACCTCTTTAATTGTTGTTGGCTGCATGTGTTGACAGGGTTGCTGCTGCTGCTCGTGCTCTGGCTCTGTTGATTCTTCTTTCTGTGCCAAAGCCAGGGTTGCTGCCTCTGGACCCCAAGACATGGAGAGGCAAAAGTGTAACAATATATCTTAGGGTTCTTCCTTCCTGGGCAGGGATTATGGAAGACTACTCCACTACAAATCCTGCAGAAGAATGTTTCCTTAGATATGGTTATGCCTGACCTTGGATAAGGGGTGAAATTTCTCAACACAGAACCAAGGAATTTCTGTACCAAGAATCAAGGTTTGTTTAAATCAAGTAGTAACTATCCAGCAGATGCAACAACACAGAGCACCATGGCATACAACTTCTGTCCTTGTCACACCTTTGTCTTCAACAGCTCTGTAGCAATCCTGAGGGTGCTCCTCCTAGTGTGATATTGCCAAGGGCAAAGGAAGAAGGTGTGATTTTTTTTTTCCTCTTCTCTTCTCTAGGCAGAGCCATGTTTTCCTCAGCCATAGGCCGCAGGCTATCACAGAAGTTCAGGCTCTTAGCTTGGAAGCTTTGAAAGGCAGAGAAAATATAATCAAGCTGGAGACACCTAAGACTAGACAGAAAGTGTGTCATGCAGTGAGTGGACAGAAGTCCCTGCTTGTAGTGCTACCCCACCTACTGAGGCATTGATAACACATTTTTAAGTGTCACCTGAGAGACAGTAATCCCGCATTTTCCTAGAATATCTGGTAACTGTGGATCCAAAATAATTTGTCTTGATTGTGACAGCAAAGAAAAAAACAGTGAGAGAAGCTAAGTTATTTTGTTGAAATGCTTATTTTACAAAGCCTATGGCTTTGAACAGCTGCTTAGCAAACTATGCAGTTCACATTGGTGTCTTTGGAAGATCAACTGCCCTGAAGAAAGTTACCAAAGAGCTATCTGCTTGGCTCCTTCCTAAAATGAAACCAGACCACCATGAACACCAGATTCCAAGCAGGTGCACATAGCTCCTGGGTATGAATTCCAAATTCATAAAATAATAATGGAGCTTGTATCTCAGCTGCTGCTTTTTTGTTTGTCTCCCTTCTCAATCTTGTTCAGAGGATTTAATCAAGTTAATTTTTCTTGGTACTATGTTCTCAATGTTTTGAAGTATTAGGGGACAGAAAGATTTCTGCTACCACAGGAATATGATCTCACATGGAAAAGAAATACAGCATGCAATAAAATACCATGGATTGCTTTTGAATCACCATAACCATTATTATTAGGCTAATGCAGCCATCCCAGTCAAATTTGGGACAGTCATTTTTGCGGAGAGACTATTTAAAATTTCAGGCAATGGCCGTGAAACCAGTAAGTTTTTTGTAGGAGCTGCCTGATATATCGTCCAGCAGTCAGACATTATGCTGTCACAAATGAAATGCTCTTCCTTTTCAAGTTTTATCTTCTTGTTTGGCTGTCACAGTGATCCTTCCATGAGTTTTCTTGCCGAGAGCGGAAGGAAAGACCCTGGCATCAGGAAAGTAATCAGTCAAGATCATTGTTATGCTGGAAGTAAGCCACCTTTTATCTTAAGACATTTATATCTCAATTGAAGATCCAAACACCCACTCCAAGCAACCTCCTGAACACAGGGGAAGGATGTGTGCTATTTGACCTCCTGGATGCAACTCCACATCTGTCTTGCCATCATAGGAGATGGGCGAGATAAAACCACCACAGGATAGGCTGTTATCCTCCAGGTACATGATGTAATTTACGAGTGATCACAATGTTTAATGTGGTAGCAGCACATTTATATAAAAGCCATTATTTGTGTACTCCTACTAGGACAGCTAGCAGGCAGAGATTTTCTCCTGAAGCTCTGTATGACATATTATGCATGCTCAGCCTAGTACAGAAATTGGTCTCTAAGACATAAGAATATACTCATAACTAGTTTTTGCATATGCTCAGTGAGTTCAGTGAAGAGCTGCAAAGATAATTAAGATACTGGAGCACCTGCCATACGAGGAGAGGTTGAGATTTCTGGCACTGCTTAGTCTTGAGAAAAGGCTGAGCCCCAATGTGTATAAGTACCTAAAAGGAAGGCATGAAACTCAGACTCTTACTGGTATCCTCTGAAAGGACATGAAATAAAGTACATTCAATTTACACATAATTTTCATTTATCTATTTTTAAAGAGAGCGTGAACAAACACTAGAAGAGGTTACCCAGAGAGGTTGTAGAGTTTCTAACCTTAGAGATATACAGAACTTAATTGAGCACAGATCCTTTCCACTGATTGTGTGAAGTAGGAAAATTCCTTGGAGATGTATTTATCTGGCACAGATTATCAGGTAAAATCCTCCTAGGGCTGTGACAAACATGAACCTGCTGAAAATCCCCAAATCCTACAGCCAGACCTACTGCTTCTAATTTTCCTCAGCAGAAGGTGTTCACAAAGACACTAAAAACGAAAAGCTACTTGCTCTCAAGCTGGAGTTTGATACTCATAGTGTTCATATGCAGAGCTCACTTTTCCCCTTTGCTCCAGAACTCTGCATATTTAGTACTTCATAGCCAGGAGGGAAAAGCATGTTCTGTTAGTATACAAATGTGAGGAGGCTGAAGACACAGATACAGCACATAGTTATTAGTGGTGGAATTTGTGAACACTAAATTGTGAAATGTGTGTAAGATCTGCACATTGAGACAATCTCTTTTTTACTTGGTTAACTTCTGTTTCCTGAGGTGTACTGTAAAATGAGTAAACATTTTGAGGAAGAAAAGCAGAAGATCTGAAAGGAGATTGAAACAAATCTCTTCTTCATCAGTCTGAATTCTAGTTCTCAGCAATCCATTGTAAAAGTAAGGTGATTTTTAACACACCTGTTTTACTCAGTGTTTCTTGCTCATCAGTAGTAAAGTAGTTCCATGTGAACCTGTCTCTGCTAATAAACCTTACTATTTGTATAGACAAGGGAAATTAAGGTAGTTTCTAGGCCATCAATGAAAGAAAAAAAGACTCCCCATTAAAAAAGTCCTCCTTTTCTCCATACTGTTTCAATTGCTATAGCAATTGCTAGCAGAGAAGAGTGAGATGAAGTTGACTTAGCATGTACAGAAGTGATGTACACATAAGCTTCCTTTTTCTTGTTTTGGATTACAAAAGGTCAAGGTAGCTTTCTAAGCATCCATTGTCAAAAAGGGCAACGTCTCCTTAGCATATGCTGAAAATAAATGGACAGTCCTAAGAGTAAAGGAAAAGTAAAACAAGTCTCTGTAGACACAAGGCAACCTGTCACCCAACTCAGAGAAGCACAACATTATGCTGTTACTCAAAGGATGGCTGCAATGATACCATTCAGTTCTGTCAACATCATTCCTTTCTGAAATAACCCCAAGAGAAACCCCACTTATACAACACAACAACCTTGGTTTTAGTAGTTCGTTGTCTCTTTTGATGAGACATTGAATAGCCCACCTAGACTGGCAGTCTCATGCTTTACAAATACAAGTTTATACTTCTTAGGAGATGACAATTTAAAATAGTTCTTAAAATACTGTACTTAAAAGATACAAAGACTTCTGTTACAAAGTTGCAGTCATAGTATTAGCTTTTAAAATAAATTAGGCACAAAATAGATTAGCAGTACAAATGCTTCATTTACATATCCTTCCCTGTCCCTGCTCCAACATCCATTGCCATCTGTGAGTTGAGAGATCACACCTCCAAAAAGTAACGTAATTGTTTTTTTCACCAACACAGTGTATATTTTTATCTCACAAAACTTTCATTTGTATGGGTTAGAATCTGTTGTGTGAGGAAATTCTTGAATTCCTCAGCTTACCAGGGAATGGTAATGGCACCAGCAGTACAGCCCATCCTCACGGCTCACTGAATGGCAGCAAGAAGTCAGATCCACTACAGGCTTTTCTGGCTACTTGCTAAATACATGTGGTTTCTTGGTCTTTTCTTCCCCCCAAAGTTGCCAATCATTGGTTTGTGATGCATGATCCTATTTAAGGCATTATAAACCAAAGCAACTAAATTCAATTAATGTATTTTCATAATGAGATGAAAAGAAAACAATTTGCTGGACTAAAAACAATAGTTCAGATGAAAGCTGTTGATTAAGAGCCAGTTAAAAAGCAACTCTTAAAAGTCTTGTTGCTATTGAGAAATGAGGCACCCAAAGTTCACAGCTGCTAGTGAAGCAAACTTTTCCCACCACCACCTCTAACTAACTTCAACACCCACTTTAGAGCTGCTGGTCTCTGAATTTTTGTGCTTTTTCACTCCTTCTTTGGTCGACCTTTGAAGGTATTCATGAGATCAAGGAGTCCAAAGTAGTCTAAAAGAAGAACAGTCACTTTCACTGGTAGGAAACTGTAAGGTAGGGACATGGAAGAAGAAGACAAAAAGAAAAAGAGAGATCAGAAGAGTTGTGCAGTTTTGTCACAATTAGTTTAACCTGGCTAATACTGGCAAAGGCAGTATGCTCTTTAGAATATAGACCCACTGGTCCTCTCAAAAGATCCTTTATACTCATTTGGCAGCCTGAGTTATAGTTAGACCAGTATTCCAACCTGGCTCGCAACAGAGTCAAAAGTGTCCAAATGCTAGAGCAAGACACCAGATGGGTTTACAGTTGAACTCAGTGATCTCAGAGGCCTTTTCCAACCAATAATTATCTGACATGCAGTTATGGAGAAGAGGTGGTCTCTACAGCCCCCAGTAAAACTGCACCCCAGTGGAGTCAGCAAGGCACAGTTAGACATTGCTGCCATTGTTCTGTGGCCCAAGGGTAGACTGAACCCATAGAAACAAACAAACCCCTTCCAAAAATGTGCATAACTTAATGAAAATTCAAACCAGAAAGTAGAAGTCTCTTTCATACTTTAAGCATCCCCAGACAGAAAAGAGAGAGAGGGAAAGAAACATAACTTACCTTTTCAAAAAATAGAAAACATAGATGATGCGTGGTATAAACAAGACTTCTTGGTTCTGCCGAACAGCACTGATTATCCTCTCGGCCACATACTCTGGCTCCAGAACAGGAAGCACATGTGGCCACCTGAAAAAGAGAATATTTATTGCTATAATACAAATTGCTTTGGATTCACATTTTCTTCAAAAAAGTCTTAATTTTACAGTTATTCAACTAAAAAAAGAAATAAATACCACAAGTCCTATGAACAACAGAATCTGCATTATGTCAGAGTGAGTGGACATTGTTATTTTCCCCCATATGACCTCTCATAAGAGAAAACCAGAGACCTCGTATTAAGACACACCAGACTTTTATTTGGCTCCTAAACTTTGTCACTATACGTGCATACTGAGCAAAGCTATGCCATCAATTTCAGGAGGAGAATGGGGGTTAGGAAACCAGAGAGAACAAATGGAGCATTTGGCTTCTGCAAAGGAAAGGACACAATTATGTTTCACATTTCAGCTTAAATGAATACTAAAGTACCTAGGCCTTTTGAGTTGCCCAGTCACTGGACAGCACTGTTAACACCCATGTGAAGCGTTAAACATAAAACAAGCAGAAAAAAGCCTGGCTCTTGATTTTCATAAAGGAAATAGGGATTTATAACATGCTAAAAATGCAACTTTCATAAAAAAACTCACAAGAGTTTACTCACTTGGATTTAACACCATCAAACATTCCCGTGTTTATGACATAAGGACACACAGTTGTTGTCTTAACACCAGTCTTTCTCAGAGCTCTCATCTCCGTATCAACTGACTCTGCAAAACCAACTGCTGCAAATTTACTTGCACAGTAATCTGTAAAATAAAACATTAATTGTAGTTAAATATTTAAATTTACAAATTAAACTTTACTGTCCAATACTAAACCACTTCACATCAGAATAGGAATGGTTTTCAGGATTAGGTTAAAATTTGCTTTTGATCTGATTCATTCCTTTTCTTTCCTCTCCTAAATCAACTGTTGTTCTAGACTGGCAGACAGAGAGTTTCTCATGACATCCCTGCTACCACTTTTCCACTCTCTAACAAACTATGGTAAATGAAATTATTTTTTCATACCATTTTTTCTTTAAATCCATGCACTCACTTATTATGCCTCAAACTCCTGTTTTCAAGACTCTCTAATGTGGTTTCAACTTGAAATTCAGTTTGTACTTATGATCACCCTCTTGGAACTAGATTTCTCTTACTGCTAGGTCACCTTATTTTATATTCTGCCCTCTTTGTATACACATTCCAGAAATGCCTTCTGAGCTTCCTCCAAATCTAAAGTGACCTCTTCCCTACCAGAAACATGCAAGTAAATTTTAATATTGAGGTTCTCAGCTTCCAAAGTTTATATGGCTTCTAGATCCTTCTGCCTTGGCAGAAAAACCTGTTTCACAGCACTGCTGAGCTTCTGGAAAACGCTTTGTAAAGAAATGGTCTGTTTAAGGTCAGCTGTCTTGAAAGACTGTCTACTTGCTTTAACTATACAGAAAGATCCAGAAATTCAAAGTAAGTTAGGTTTCTTTTCCCTCATGGATACTGATTTCAGAGTTTAAAATCACACTTATTACTTCAATTAATATTAGCTTGAATACACTACCTGAAGCCTGACTGGTTCCACACAGTCCTGCACCGCTTGCTATGCTAACCAAGTGTCCATGGTTAGCAGCAATCATTGCTGGGAGGAAGGCTTTGTAAGTCTGCAAATAAATCAGAATTGTAATGTAACATTTTACCAAGTAAGCTACACGCCATAATATTTTTAAGGCATTTGATGGTTTTAGAGAAATTCTCCCAACAGTTTAAATAAGCTTTCCCCCTTCTATTATGGAAAGGATCTGTGTATGTATGTGGAGCTTGAACCACATGTTGTTTGAACTCTAACATTCAACTATTTAAATGGGGAGTTCCCACCCCAGGAGCACTACCAAAGATAGATGGTAACTTGAAGAAAGCTAAATATATGGCTTAATCTAGTAATGAAGTTTCTTTCAAATGAGAATTAAGTGTTCAATGCAAATTTTGGGAAATGGCAAAGATTTTAATTTAATGTTTTCCTTCTATTAAATTAACTAAATCATTGTGATTAAATTTATTTATTTCTAAATAAACTGAAACATGACTGAATATTCTCTTTATAATTCTTTATGATAAAAGCACCATATAGGTGACCTGCCTTCACTGAAAGGAAGAAAAAGCACACCAGGTTAGTCATTCTGGACAAAAGCTTCACTTATTATCAAGAGGATTATCAGAACATGTGGTGTTTCTTACTGAAATTATCACAGCCACAGAACAACTAAAACACTAACAGAACAGAAGAACTGAAGTAGAATTGAACACTTCTCTGTTACTAGGGGCAGCAACTATTAACATGGACCTGCTTCATATCAGTTAATAATGAGACTGTAACTTATGACTAGCCTCAGAATTTAGCAGACGGTAGACTTCAATTCTTAAGAGAATTTCTAAATGTGAAGAGCTTCCACCTGCCTACACTAGAGATTCCCAAAGAATCCATTCTTCCATGCTTTTAAAAAAATTTTACAGACTCCAGAGCAAATAAATAATTTCTTGTATCATTTCTGACTGAACTTCCAAAGAGCCCTATATCCTTGCATGTTTTCCTCAATTCAAAAGGCAAAATTAACATTGAAAACATGTTAAAAGAATGTCTTAGTATGTGTAGGCTAAATACAGGTTTTACCCAGAAGTGTGCCATTGTGTTCACTTCCATGGTTTTTTCTACGAGTGAATCTGGAGAATCAAGAAATCTCTTCCCAATTACAATACCAGCATTGTTGATCAAGATGCTGACATCACCAACTTCTTTTTTAACCTAAAAAAAAAAAGCATCAAGAGAGTGTGCAATAAATACAAAACATTCTTTCCAAGCATTATTTATGAAAACTTAACAAACAGAAATATTACACATTTAAGTAAGTTGAACTTATGCTTGTTATAGATCCAAACACATCATGTTCTTGCAGTCTCACCTGACACCTTTTTAAAGGTGAGCTCTCAAATAGATTTTCTTCAGATTTGTGGAGCCCAATAGCTCCACACAAGCTTCTGCTTTCAGCACCTCTGTTTCCAAGGACAAATGTTCCAGATAAGTCTTTAATGCAGAAGGCTTAACTAACACAACAAGTATTTTTCTATTATGTCTAAGTAAACACATCTTAAAACTAGACTAGAATCGGTACAGAATCTGGACTAGAATCTGGTACACTCTACCCCAGAAATTAAGTTGGCTAAAAAATAATACGTATACATTAAACTCAGTAAGAGGAGGTATAGTTTTCATTTTAGCTCCAGACTGAGAACATTCATGAACAGACCCATTTGAGAGAACAAGTGTAGGCCAGCTGATTGCAAGGCATTATCTCAGCTTGCCAAAGGAGAATTAAAATATTTAATACAGAATTTGAGACACAGGTCATTGATCTGAACTATCTGGGAAAAATGAAATGGGTAACACAGTGAAGAATTAAAGAATAATTTATCACCTATCCTTTATTCTAGCTTCACTTCCTCGTATTCCTTAAACTTGCTCTGATCATGTCTATTTTTTAAACTAAGCTTTAGGAGTTGGGTACTTCTGGAACAGAGACATTAGAAATAAATTTTAAGCTATAGGTTTCAATAGCCAAAAGGCTGTCCTTCATCGTGTTGGTACAGGAAAGAAACAACAACCTGATACATGATACATGCAGAACCTTTGGGACGATTTCCTACGTAAGTCATTTTTTCTTGCTGTCTCTGTGTGGCTCATGAAACACACATTAAAGATCCACACACATTTCATTCTGGCTTTAAAACTGTTTTATCAGGAGCAAAATTTTCAAACATATCCTGCCCTACCAGCATAAATTTAGTTCACCACAGTCTTGCAAAACTCCAATCCTGCATAAAGCTGAATCACCAGAAGAGGAAAAAGGACCTGGAAACATGCTGTCGTACCTTCCAAAGATATGAACACTAAGAGCCAAAGTCTACTACGCTGCATGAATTAAGCAGTGGCACCAAGCACCATCTAATACTAAAGTCTTTTTGTAACTGCTGAGATTGGATGATTCTACATCATGAGTAGGACATGACATTTCTGAAATAATGGTAGTAAGGTGTTTTCTTCTATGCAGATCAGCATGAGGATTATTAGTGAATCTGACAGATACTGAATGGCTGACAGAAGGTTTTAAATGAGAGACCATGCACTGGACCCTACTGCAAATTCTTAGTTCCTGCAAGCTCTGTTTGCATCATCCTGAACCCATGTCACACAGATCTACATCCTGTTCTCTTTTTCAAATTTCGCCAGCATGGCTCAGACACTGCTTTTCTCCATGGGCCCAGAGCGCTAGCCTCGGTTCAAGTCCTCAAACCTAAAGGTTAATTTTCATCTGCTTCATCACAGTATCCTTCACACTACAATATTCTTCCTCCAGCTGTCCCAGTTCAGCAGGAAGCACAGCTACAGGCCTACGGAGCGACATGCAACTTCTCTGCAAGGACAGCAGATGTCCAGCTCAGCTGATGTAACAGCTGCAAGGGGGACCCAGGCTGATCAGCATTACTGGAATACAAAACCAATAGCACCAGCCTCTAACAAGCTGCAATTCATACACAAGCTTCACGTATCAGAAAGCCTATCATAGTCATTTTTGAACAGATAGAAAAATACAGAAGGCTAGAGCTGATTAAAGAGCACCAAAACATTATTTCAACCAAAAGATGTTCCTGAAGACAGCTGAATTTATTGTTAAAAAAAAATCATCCCCACGCAAGGCTCACTGTGGAAATCACTTAGTTCAGTAATTAAGTTTTGCAAATTTTAAGTGAATGAGAACAAGTTCTTAGACTTGAAACTGTTTAAGAATTTTAGCTTTTGGCAATACTGCTGGCAAGTCTGCCCAAATTATCTAACCACATGCTATGTTTACAAAGCTCTTCAGAAATGAAAGAAAGAAATATTTGACATCAAGATACATTTATTAATTCAGATAAAGTAAGTCTGCCAAAATCTCTTCACAGCAATGGAATTATTTGGAAATTGCCTAAGCAGTTAATCCTTTTTACAATGTATGGTCTTTTGGTAAAAGGCTGCCAGAACTTGAAATACTGCTTTAGCTTCAATAAATTGATTTTCCGCACTTCATGATTAAGTGCCTGCTCGGTCATTGAATGAATGAAAAAGAAGCTACCCAGTTAAAATGAGCTACTGAAAAAAAGAGCCAGCTCTTTTTACTTTTTAAGGAACAAAGATACACAAGTCAACTCTAAAAACCAGAATTCTTGAAATAGATAGGAAGTACAATACATTCAGAATGAATTAACTTTAATCTCTTGTTTTGAATCCACTAGAAAACTTACTCATGCATCTTACACCCGCGCTTGCACTCATCCTGGAATAATGTCAAAGCCACAAATAATACACTTTACCTGGTCAGCTAGTCTGTAGACATCCTGTCTTTTGCTACAGTCACAGACATAGGAGTGTACTCTTCCTGCTCCTTTTTCTCTGGCCAGTCTAACTGTGCAGTTGAGCCCCTCTTGATTAATATCCCAGAGGACCACCGTGGCGCCAAGGCTGGCAAACTTCAACGCTAAGAGTCTTCCAATGCCACTTCCCGCTCCTGTTATTAATACGATTTCACCACTAACATTCTTCTTCCGTCCAGGAACAACCAAGAACACCAGTGACTCCAGCAAGTAGTAAACAAGAAGTACAATACATTTTAATGTTTCCAGGAAGAAGTTCATCTTCAGGCTATTTCTTCAGATACCTGATAAAAAAACCCCAAAACATTTACCAGATAGGGTAAACCATGGAGAAAATGCAAACATCAACATTGCAAAAACATTTTCAGATCCATTCGAAATATCTTCTCTACCCTGCTTTTGAGTATTGTTTCAAAGAAATATATAGATTTACACCTGCATATCTAATCCATTTGGCCTGTTTCTATCTTGTCTTCAGGTTGCTTCCACTTTCCTCCAGGATGAAGTATACAATTCATTTACCATTCAGCAGTAATAGGAAACACTTGCTCTCATCTGCTTTAGAAATTCACCATCCCTCATGCCACGGGTTTCATTCTCTGACAAAATGTGGACAAAAATCTGAAATAAATACATACTACTACTAATAATAAAAATATGCCCATTGAGCATCTCAAACAGAAATGCATGACAATTACAAATCAAAACTTATGGTTTGATCAAAGAATTTCAGTGCTCACAAACTAGTCCTATAGGCCAGGAAAAATTCTGCTTTTAGGACCACAATGTTTTTTGCTTTGTAGGCACTCCTTGTCACCATGAAATCACATGCAGAACAACTCACAGTCCCAACTGTGTTGAAAAATCATTAAGCATAAGGAGCTTCAGAAGGCAATATGCTTATAAATCTCCAAAGCACACTAGGTTAATACCTGTTTGTCACTACTGACTTTTCAGCTACCTGTACTACCGTTATTGAGGAGAGCCTGCTTTTGCATTTGAACATAGTTCTTTGAGAATGCACTGCAAAGCTGTTGAGTTTCTTCTCTTCACCTCCCTGAGTTAAGCAAATGTCATAGGCTTGAATCATACCACCTCAGGTATATGTTTAACCTTGCAATCTCTACACATCCCAGTAATGCCGACACCAAACAGGCCTTTAAGTCCTTGGAGGAATGTTATTTCATTTTCCAGTATATAAAAGCTGCAAGAAATTATGAAGCAATAACATCATCTTTCTCAGCTAAAGGTAGAGCATGCTGGCACCTACACTTCAACCATTAGCACTTTTGGACACTTAGCACCTTTAGCAACCTTTAGACATATCCAGCCTGATTACATCTCTTAGTTAACTTTGCTATCTATGTGTACAGGTAATCGTGTTTGACAAGGGCCAGCAGATAAGTAACTTAGGTCTCTGCCACTCTGAGCAAAGTTCATGAAATGTAGCATGTGAACATACACGTGTTACCACAAATCTCAGGTTTTCTACATGGGAAACTAGGCCAGCCTTGAAAAGAAACAGGCCTCTGCTAGAGCAGAGCTAGTTATTTTAGAAAGTTTTCTGGCAGAAACATTGGAACATCTTAAAACTGTTCTGATAACAGAAAAAACATTTGCCACAGACATAGCGGGTAGGAAAACAAGTTCTTTCTGGCAAAGTCATGGGGTGAATGCTTTCTATTGAGTACTTTCTATTCCTCATTCTCATTAAAATGTGACAAAATGTGCACAGAGGCAGTAACTCCAGTAAGAAGTGAAACAAATATCAAAACAGCACTGCAACATTTTTCTAGGCCCAATATTAGCATTTCCTGTAATAGGCTCTCTTATTTATACAGATATTACAGTTCTAAGCAAAACTAGAGTTATAAAGCAAAAATGTTATTAAATTTCATGCACATAAAAAGTGCAAGTTTTTGGAAGCCCGAGGTCTTTGCTGAGTCTGAAACAGAAGAAACAAGTCTTTAAAATAAATGCAGCTTCTGAATTTAACTTGATTGCACTAATTTAATGCACTTAACTTAAAACCCTCCACTTGCATGAAAGCAGACTGGTACCTCTGGCATAGATAAAGATGTTAAAGTTAATCCCTATGGAAAACCAAGTGAGGCAATTGCCTTCAGAGGCAATACACAATTTGAACTCAGTTTAAAACTTATGACAGTAATTCTTTAAGTAAGAAATAGGCTTTTATAGGTCACCTTAGGTCTTTCAGAAAAGCGTACCTATCACTTAATGAAGTAAAGTTTATGCATACAGACCACAGGAGGCCCCCTATTAGAAGACCAACTCTGTATCCTTCAACAAGATGCTTAATTTCCATAGACACATCTCTCCCCTAACCCAGATTTAACTGGGCCTCCTATCTCACTCAATGCATCAGTATTGCTAATTAAACCATCTACTGTAACCAAGCATATCCATACAGACAATTAAATTTGCCACTCACCTGGCCGATTTTGCCTTATCAACTAAAGTGAGAAGGGATGCATTTACGAGTGAATTAACTAAGGGGGTCTTTGGCACATATAAAATCTCAGATCACTTCCGATGCCTTGTATTGTTTAGTATGCCTGTGTCCACACAGACATAAGTGTGGAGGGCTTCTATGCAGTAGAAAAGTATCAGATGTTCTACGACATTTTATTGTCCTCGCAGGCCCCCAGCCGGGTAATAATTAGCACTGACTCCACGATTCTCAGAAGGCTGATCAATCTCTTTATTATATATATAATCATTAAGAAACCCATTGCTTTCATAGACACTTATGATACACCTGGACCGAACTGGTCCACCAATCCAAAAACCATAACCATTGGCTAATTAAGAAACCACCCTTTGATAAACAAATCTCCACAATGCATTCCTCATATTCACAACAACAGGTGCAGCAAGTGAAGATAAGAATTGTTTCTCATTCTTTTCTCTGATCTTCTCACAGACTTTTCCCCCGGACATTTTATCAGACAGATTTCAAGTGCAGATAACTTGGGCAGCAAAGGCTTATTGGTACATGTCAACCCTCACCACGGACAGGCCCTTGCAGACCTGACAGGGTTTTAAAGACCATCACTGCTCGCAAATCACAGGAGCAGGACCGAGGCTGGCAGCTGAACGGAAGACCACCCTTGCTAGTCGAAGGACTACAGGCTGATCACGCAATCATCTGAGCAGTGTTTGACAAGGATGAATTTTTCTCACTGTACTGCGTGAGTTGCGATCCCACAAAAGTACAGCAGCCCTGTAGCTAAGGCTGCCCAAGTGCAGCAGTAAATTCCTCAGCCCCGGGGGATGCTGGATAACATCACTCTCACTTGGCACAGCGCGCCTACCAACCCAACCAGCACCATAAGAAACCCACAAGCAGCGTTCAGCCGCAGCGACCAGCTCACCGCCCTCCCCAGGCCGCAGCGCCCGGCTGCCCACGGCCCTCGATCCTCCCACCGAGTGCCCGCACACACTGTCCTGTCCTGTCCTGTCCTGTCCTGTCCCGTCCCGTCCCCTAGTCCACAACACCCCAACACCGGGAGTACCTTGGCCTACCGACCTGAAGGGCAGGCAGAGCACCTCCGCCTTCCGCCGTAGCGCAGCGGCTCTGGGACAGGCAGGCGGGTGAGAGCGGGGCGAAGGGAGCAGGCAGCACAGCGGGGCGGAGCCAGGCAGCCCTGCCTTTATCAGGCAGCCCGCCCCAGCGCGGGGCTGAGCGGATGCCCGGGGTCGGTATCCGTGGCCACTCCGCGGCGGCAGAGCGCCGGGCTTGGGACTGCGGGTGCCGCGGCGCTGTGCGCGCTCCGCCCGGGGCTGCCGGGATGGGATTCACCCGGGCCGTGGGAGCGGGCCCAGCATGGAGCTGTGGGGTCCTCCCCGGGAAGGAAAGCTGCGGCCGTGAGGACGCTTATCCTCCGTGGGCTCTTTGCTGAGACCGGAGTAGGGTCGAAAGCTCAAAGGACGGAGTAGTTTGTTGGGTGGAGGCCCTCGGGACAACGCCCTAACTCCCACGCACTTTCTCTGGGGTTGGTTGCTGTTGTTTGTTGGGGTTGTGGTTTTGGTTTTTGTTTTTGTTTGTTTTAAAAGTAGTATTTATACACATGAGGTGGTTCTCACTCTGTGCTGACACCTGCACCTAAAGGCGGGGTTGATGTAAAGAGATCACCTGGCCTGTGTGAAGCCATGCTGCATGGAAGTGGCTTCACTGGGGTGAGTGTGAACCTTTCAGGGTGGTGTCCTTTTGAGGAAATGAATGATACTTCAGTTAAAAAAATTAGTTTTGGCTCTACCCAGACTAGAGTATTTGGTTTGCTAATTCAGTGAACTGCTCTTCGTTTACTGCTATATATTCACATAAGTCCCTTAGGGAAGCTTTGTTTTGCAGGGTTTTTTCAGCCATATGCTCATCCTTAGGTAGCAGAACTCTGAAGTGTAAGTTGATGAACATTCACAACTTCAAGAAAGGTTTGTATGATGAGAGAATGCTTAGTATCACCAGAAAACATACGACTGAAGGCCTTTGCTTGGCAAATCATTATCGTGATCGTTAATATGCCTACTTTACAGTATTGTATTAAAGCAGTACATTTAGGAGGCTAATGATAGTCAAACAGTGACACTGACTGCTGCTTTCTTTTTAGAAAAGTTTCTTTTTAAAGTGGCTCACTTAAAACAAGAAAGTGTAAAAAAACCACCCTAGTTATTTAATTTTAAAAAGGTTTAAATATGAGTTTTGCATTAATACTTGGAAGTTAATAGTATTTAACATTGAGAGTGACCTTATGATTGGAGTTGGAGGCTAGAAGATGGTAGACCCATCCCCTTTCCCCACCTTGTATGAAGATTTTGGGCATGTAAGAAACTTGCTGAATAAAACTTGCTGAAACAGAATTCACCACATAGCTTCTCTTTACTAGTCTACCTTATGAAAGACTAAAACTAGTTTGTAGAGAAACTATTTTTGAGACTGTCAGATTAGCATCTTTCAGAGACTTGTATCTGAGAAGACACAAATGGAATCATTACTCTTGATTCAAGTCTAGAAATGGAACCATGCTAATTTGTATCAGATGAGGATGCCACATGTTACTTTTGGACTGATTTTTGAGTGCTGTCAGAATTCCAGGAGTGTAGAATTGGGACTGGTGTTTTTGTGTAACATCCCACTGGTTGTCTTCAAAGGAACCCAAGGTCATTCAAGTCATAAGAACATATCTGAGGAACTTTCTAAGTGCTGTCACTTCTGCTTGTCTATAGTACTTATGCTGTGTAAGTGTACTGCTAGTCTGTAGCATTTTTTACTGAGGGCTGCATTGCATTTTGGCCTACCTTAACTTTAAGAAAGCACTTGGCATCTGTTGTTGGGTAGATATTGACACCTCTGCTGGAACAGTGTACGCAGTAGCACACTAGAGTGCTGTTTATACTTCATGTGAATCTGTGGTAGATCTTTTATTACATTCACTTGACTTCACCACCACTTAATCTTGATTATAGATGTGTCACAAGAAGCATGGATAAAGCAAATAAGAGAGTTAAGGTTGGTCTAAGCTGGATAAATTCAATTGCATGGTGATTAGAATAGTCATCCTCACTTTAGAATAAAAAATACAAGAATATCCTGTCATGCTGTTGGAGCCATATTCTCTTAAAAGCTCTCATATTCTTATTTTTTCTATCAGAACACTCAAAATGCAATAAATATTTTGATATTAAAGTGTCAGTTATCCCGCATGTACCTCAGCTGTTGAAGTGGAATAGTGTAATATGCTTGTAAACAGTCTGATCTTTCCACTTTCTTTGAATGCTTACTGTAGAATTCTAAAATGACCTCATTGTGCTTTTCAATGTCTTCACGAGGAGAAGTGGAGGGGCAGGTATTGATCTCTTCACTCTCATCAGGATTCGAGGAAACAGCATGAATGTGAGTCAGGAGAGTTTTAGATTGGACCCCAGGAAGAGATTTTTCACCCAGATGGCGGCTGAACACTGGAACAGGCTCTCCAGGGAAGTGGTCACAGCACCAAGCTCAAGAAGCTTGATGCAATCACATTCAGACAATGCTCTCAGGCAAATGGTGTGACTCTTGAGGTGTCCTTTGCAGGGCCAAGAGTTGGACTTAATGATCCTGATGGGTCCCTTCCAACTCAGTGTATTCTGTAATTGTATGGTTAAGTTTTCATTGGCAGTATCAGCTGCTTTAGCAATTGTAGGTATGTCACTGCAATTGCAGCCTACACAAACTTGTCCTTAGTCACACCTTGCAACTTCTAGGAGAGGAGCGGGTCTTCATAAAAACCCTAGTGCCTTGCTCGTAGAAGTCATATGTGTCCTGTGTTGCCTCTGAAGGAAAAAGGGCAAACACCATTTAGCCAGAGTTCCTCAAGATTGACTTTTCCTTTTTTATTCCTGCAGAAGACATACAGCTGGGGCAGAGGAGATTCCAGTCAAGAGGAAGGATTGTCTTCCTGAACACAGAAGACTAAGTGACATTCTGAATTTTCATTTACTATGTGCATTTCCTTTGAGTGATTTTTACTATCTAATGGAGGTTTATGGAATTCTAGTTCCATGCATTAGCAGATTTAAAAATAGAGGAATTGTAAAAGTGACAAACTATTACCCACTGGTGCCCTATTCATTTCATCTGGGAGAAGTGCCAAGTCCTGTTTTGTGAGGGTGAGGGGCTGAGACGTGCTGCATTAACATCTGTTCAAAGTATCTACAAACTACATGGCAAATACAACCAGCAGCTTTGGCATCTCTCAAACATTAGGAGAAGGACAAATTCTCATTGGAAGAGGAATATGCCAGCACTAAGTATCACCATGACTTAGCCACTGGATGCTCAGCTCCCATAGTTCAGTGCCTGTTAAGATGTGTTTCCAATGTCAGGACCTGATAGATTGTTTTTAATTCCCTAAGCATTTCTGGCAGTGAACCTCATCATAACAAGAAAATGTGTTGATGTGGGCCAGCTCTGTGGTGAAATTTGTTGTATGCTCACACAGCACAGAGGATTGTGGCAAGAGGAGTGAAAGCTTGCAAAACATGACTCCTTAATTGGGGTTCCCATGCCATAAGAAAGTGTGGTGTGGGTGCTCTTGCCTCTAACCAGGCAACAGGTAGTATTATACACAGGTGTGTGTGAAATTATGTTCTTTACTCATACATGAATGCCTGCTAAATCAATCTGGTAATCAGGCAGCATTGGTTGTCCTCCTATCCCCAGAGTTAACTCACTTTATTCAGAACAGTGAGATGAATGAAAAAGGTTCATTCTAGTGTGATGCAGAAATGTTACAGCATATGCTCAAATATTAAATATTATTATGTGTCCAAGAGCTGTTATAAATCAGCTTTGTTTAGCAGCGTGATTTCTGATTCTGCACTAGGATTTTATTTGCCCATGTATAAGCTGTAACTTTATGCACAATGAACACAGGTCATCTGTTGGCTGCCACAATCAGCTGCAAAGAGACTCCTGCTATATAGCTGTTTGCTGAGACCTTTAGTATGGTCCCCTATGTGCCCATGGTATGTTCTTATTAGCATCCTTACTTTCTACAGTACCTGCCTGTACTGCAGGAAGAAGTGTTCCACAAGAGATTTTTCTCCTTTCTTCATGAAAAAAATAATTTGTGACTAGTTACTGGAGGAGTCTGGGGTGAAACATCATTTATGATGTACAGGCTGTCAGGATGGATTTAAAGGGAAAGCTTAAAAAAAAGGTAATTAATAATTCTCGCTGATTAGTAAAGAAAGTGAGGCAATTTCCTATCATTTGGGACTTAGAAAAAAGTCCCAAATGCTTCTTAATAAAGAGTAATGCAAGGTTTCTGATGTGGAAAAATTAGAAACACAGCAGGGAAGCAAAACAACCAAAAAAGGTTTTATGTCTGGGAAATGAAGCAGCAAGGCTGATATCCACTTAACAAGAGGAAAAATTACCAAAGTTTTAATTTATTAATTGAATATATAGGAAAGCAGTGGGTTGGAGGGTGTGTTCTAGTACAGGGATAAGTAGGAATTGGAGGAGAACATAGAATGGAAACAGCAAGGTATAACCAAAGAACTAATTTAAACCTCCATGTGCTGGAGGGAGGACTCCAAGTGTGGCAGTCATGAATATCTCATGTGGGCTTGCAGATCTGTGCCCTGATGGAAAGCCAGGGCAGCCTAACATGCAGGTAGGGGCTAGAAGTGAAGATAACTGATAGGGGGAGAAGGAAATGAATAATGGTTCTGTGCCAGACCTAATCTTCATTCCTCTATCTTCATTTCTCTGCTTTTCCTTCTTTTCAAATTCTGTTGCTTTTTGTCTTGCTTTTGATGTTAAACAGCCTGGGGAGAGTAAGGTGCAGAGTTTCTAGTGTATTCTAATGCACTCTGTAACATGTGGCCAGTAATTCTGAGTGTTCAGCTTCATTCCATACCTGTATCACTCTAAGCTACCATGAAAAAAAATTGCTCCTTTGCTCCTATGTTACTCTGTTTTTTGTAGGCCTAAATAACACCAGGGTTTCCAGCTCTGCACTTCCTAGGGCATCAGCTGATGTGATTATTAAGTATCAGGATTTTTGCCTATTCTCATGTAAGTGCCTCTCAATAAGACAGAAAGTACCCTCTGTCCCTCAGAAAAACTTTGAGTGCCAGAATATACTTGCTGTGTCTTGTGATGGTTGATTTTGGCTTGCAGTGTATTTCTCAAAAGCTGAGATAATGCTGCTAATGTCTGTGAAGAAAATAAAGGGTGATACATTCCTCTGCATTGTTGGCCTGTAAATTGGAAAAAAAAAATGCTATGAAAGGAAAAATTGATTACATTTTTATGCTAACTTTTATGTCCATGATATCATACTTAGCTGCTAGCTGCAATGACATTAACCCTCGTGTCTCTGCTATATGCAAAATCACAGAAACATTTTGCTTTTGGATTTTAACTTGTCCTTTTCTCTGCAATTTCTAAGTTATTAGGGTCTTCAGCTACAAAGGAAATCTGCACATAAACATGTTGGTGAAATTATTTTCTCAGAGAACACACAAATTCATGAGCATTGAGCATGAAGTATTTCCATTTACAGGAGTGTACTGGCTTGGACTATGTTTCGCTGTGTTCCCCTGGTTACTTCAAAAGAGTTACTTCAAACCTCCTACCTTTGGAGTGATCCAGCTGATTTCTGAGGGACCAAAGATTAAATCACCTCTGCTTTGCTGGCAGTTTGATTCAAACTTAAATGTCACTTTCTTTCATCTGCAAATCTGGGTTTCTATAATCCACTTAATAGTCCACTTAATATTTAAGTTGAACAACTTCCCAAAAGAAGCTAAGAGTGTGCAGGCCCGATTTCCATATGGTGGTTCGAGATGTGCCTCAGTGCTACACGCTTGTGCTGCATGGTACACATGGTACAACATCCAGGGCAAACTGCTGTTTTCATCATGTAAAATTCTGATCTAAACTAGGGGCATGATTTGTAATCAGTACTTTGAGGTCTTGAGTACTAATGAGTCTATTGACCTATTCAGTACTCTGTAGGTTAGAAAGTTAGAGAGTATAAGGAAAAAGATATCTGAAATCCTAAAGCGGATGGAAAAATCCTGTCCAGCTCTTTTAGTCACACTTTGCAACCCTTTTTTAAGTTCTACTACATTTTGTTGTATTTTATTACTATATTTACACTTTGAGGATTTTGTTACATCCATTTGCCTACACTTGTTTGAAATGTATCCAGTGCGTTTGTCTATACATTTATAATAATAAATGTTGCATCTTTGAGTATTATATAAGATTCTTATTTTAAAATTCACTGTTGTCCCATTTCAGCTCTGACTGTAATGCCTGTAGTAGCTGGCTATTGATGGATTAAACTGAGCATCATGCTGGTTGGTGGCAAAAGGCCAATACATGTGATGCCACTGCAGCACAAAGTGGTATGATGAAAAAGTCTCAAGGAAGTTTGTGAAGAAAGGAAACCTGTCCAGGAGATCTTTACTCTCAGCCAAACTAAGGAAAAAAAAAAAAAAACTTTTCACTGCATTTGTAGTCCTTTATTTGTCACTGTATTTTATACTAGAAATAGAGAAATTAAAACTTTTCCACAGCTGACTTTGAATAGCTATGAGAGATTTTGATTTTGTGATTTCCCCCCCCCCCCCCCCCCCCAACACATCACTTGCTAAGTGTGGAATCTCACCCAAAGAAATCCTATGAAATCCTCTCAATATTACAGAGACAGATTTTTTTCCCCATTTTTGTTCCATTTGAATGCAGGAAATTATCTGAGCAGTCAGTGTCACTTCTCATATATCTGAATGTAAAGTCCCTTACATTTTCTGAAAGGTCTGTATTTCTCACTCTTGCTCACTAAATTTCTGAAATATTTTTCTGTACTAGACTTGAAATCTGTAACATGTTAATTCCATAGCTGAAACCCAAAGAAAGCCATTTTTAAAATGCTTTACTGTTGCCCATTTAATTTCCTGTGGTTGAAGGAGAGTTCCACCAACGTTATCTTCCTCAGCCTCCTTCCTGTTCCCTGAAAGTTACACTTAGAGAAAACAAGACCACAAGACCACCTAGTTTTTGACTGGATTTTGTTTCAAAATATGTGAGGCTGAAAATTGCTTGCTTTTTAAACCCAAATCAATGATCCCTAAAGAAGGGAAAGAATTTGGAAAGCATTGGGAAGTATATCAGAATAACATGCAAAGTGACATAATAGTTTTTCTGGGAAGAAAGGATAAGGAAATATAAAGCAATAATCACACCGTGATGAATCCATCATGCACCCACATCTTCCCCATCATGCAGCCACATCTTCCACGCTAAGTGAGAACTAATTTCCCTGCTTTCTACTCCCATTTCAGAAAAGATGTAGAACAACTTGGAAGGTATGCCAAAGAGTGAACAGGCTCTCACAGTGTGCAATAGCTTTTGCCTAAGAGACATTTCAACAGCTTGGAAGAACTGAGAGGGGAGAGGTGTGATAAAGGAATATAACATCTCAAATGGCGTGGATGAACCGAATGCTTGTTCAGTTTCTCACAATAAACAAGCAGGTGATAACAAGTGACTGGCATCCTCAAGGTGTAAATGAAAGAAAAGAAATTGCCCTTTTCCTCTACATTCTTAGTCCTGGAAAGCAGACAGATTTTCATGGCAAAAACTGTAATTATTTTATGCAGGTTGATTATAAAATGAATACATACACAAGAAAAGGTGTACTAAAACCCAGTGTTTTTAATGATTGCCTACTAGAAGTCCCTTTCAGAGATTCAACAGTCTTTTACGTATGTATGTAATAAGTATTGAACACTTTGCAAAGTGATTGTGGAGAACAGTCTTATTGCTCAGAGCAGCAGTTTAAAGAAAGTTTAAAGAAAGAAGTGTTTCATTTCAGAAAGCTAAATTACACAGCTGCTCTGACATGACTGATACCTATACAGCACTGGCAGCGACATTGTTCATTGCAGAAGAGCCATACTGTGTTAGTCAAAACATCCATTTAACCTTGTATTTTACTCCTCATGCAGCCAGCAGCACGTACTTAGGCAAACAGTGTAAGAACAGGGAAAGCAAACAAGTGCTCCCTCAGTGCATATGGACACATTCAGTCAGGGACTTCCTAAGCCACAGAAAACAGTTTTGCATTTAATGCTCCTGATGGATAAATGGAGAAAATATAATTGACATGCTTGTGCATTACAGCAGCTTCTGAATAATTATGGAAATGTTGCTTTTATGCCTTTTGATCTCTAGATAATGTCTGTGAATTTTCCCTTAGGAAAAAGACCTTTTGTATGTAAGGTGCATGTTTTTGGTTGTCTATGTTAGTATGTCATGCACTATAATTGAAGTCGTGGGGTTTTATCTCACCTGCCCTTGTAGGTATTAGAGAATAGGCACTTAATATTTATATTGTGCAATTAGAAGAACTATAAATTATTGAAGGTACCACTGAATTGGTAAACAATATACATCTGCCTACCTGTTGCATTTTAAGTTGTGATCCATGGATTGTTTTGTCTGTGGATCATGCCCAACATATGACAACAGTAACTAAAAAAATAGACTTTTTTCCACTGGGCTTTAATTTGCCATATGGGGACATGTAGCTCCATTGGAAAATTTCTAGACATCTGAAAACTGAGATTGAAAAATATATTAGGAAGGGAATATCAGTAAGGAAGGCAGGAAAAAGCTTTCTGTCACGTTCAAAAAAGTGACAGGTCACCCATAGTTCTTGAAGAAAAACAGTAATCTCTCAATTTTCTGAGCAAAGAAAATGCACAGGCCAGCTCGGGCACCAGTTTTCACTTAGAAGCAACCAAAACCAAATCTGAGCTTTAATGATTCTGTTCTTATTTTCACATTGTCTGCATTTGTTTGTGTGCACTCCCAAATACTGGTGGATAGAGTTTTGTTTTGCATGTTTATGCAACTTCATAGACTGCCTTTTTTTACATCTGGCATAACACTAGGAAACAAAACATTGGTCAGGAAGGTATGGCCAAAGAGATGGCCCAGATGGCAAACTCACATTCCTGGTCTTTCCCAGCAAGGTGTACAGTGGTGTACAGCCACAGCCTCTCCGGGCCTGACTTTGCATTTGGAACGAACACCCACAAACAGTCCCAGCCCGGAGCCACCGCGATCCCCCAACAGCTGTTAGTCCGCAGGATGCCTGCGAAGTGATTACAGAAACCATAAATTAAAGAAACGATTTCCAAACCCGACCTCTGAAGTGCCACAGCCCTCCAGAGGAAGGAACCGCTTCCCCCGTAGAACCACCTGGGAACGGGCTGGACCCCTCCCCGCCGCCCGCACTGACTGGCGCTGCCGTTACCGGTCCCACTGGGAACTGAGGAAGCGGTGATGCTTTTTTTAGGCTGCGCAGCTTTCCCCTTTCGGCTTGCACCTACAATAAAACCCCCCCAAACAACCCTTCCCTTCCGGACGCTCCGGAAAGCCAGCAGGCGAGGCACCGGCCCTCCCAGCAGCCCCGGCAGGGCCCGGCCGGTCCCCGCCCCGCGCTGCCGGGAAATGTAGTGCGGGCGGGGGCGGCCCGGCCTGCGGGGCCCGGGGGCGGCCGTGGCGGGGTCGGAGTGCGGGTCCCCGCCGTGTCCCCGCTCGCAGCCTCCTGGGCTGGGGGGCGGCGGCGGGGGAGACCCGCGGGGACCGCGGGAGAGGATCGGGCCTGTGGTGCCACAAAATGGCACCTGCCGGATGGAACCGGCGGGCGCCGCGCACGGCTCGGCCCCGTGCCTCAGGGCGATGGGCCGCCTTGCCTCAATGGTGGCACTTAAGCAACGAGGGCTGATAGAGCAATAGGCACTTGATACAACAACGTGGGTGCCGAAATGTTATCTCTGAGCCTCGAGCTTAGGTGTGCCCCTGTGACGACATTTCCATGGGTGGGAAACACACCTGGGCGCTTACATGCAGGCGAGTTTGTACCCTGTGCTCATGTTTTAGTTGTGCCAGGATACAGTGTTACAGGCTATGTTTCAGCCAGACCTGCTTCTCCATGTCACCGGGTCTGGAATCTCTTTTTTGCATCTCGGCGATGCTAAAAGCTCAAGTCATCCACAATTACTGGCTTGCCTTGTCTTCCCCACAGCCTTTCTTTTGGTGGTGGTGTGCTCTCCTCAACTCTTTTGGGATCAGAAACAGATCACATGCTGTCCTTTACAAGAATCCTATGTAGTTCCCCTGAGAAGAACCTTAGCCACCCATACATATTGTAATCCTATCAGTCTCCCAAGTATCACCTCTTTGACATTTGTATGCGTGTCGTACACGCACCTTTTTATGGGCAGATTCTTAGCTCTTCTCACCACTCCCTTCCACACTCCTAAAACTATACAGTACTTCCTACTCAGCCAGCTGACCACTGTTTTATTCTTTCTACCTTTAACTAGTCTCTTCAATTTTGTTTTTGTTTAATCTCTTTAATTCTTAAAAATCAATCCTTTACTTACAAGTTGCAACATCAAAATAGTATCCATGTTTGACTTCAGCAGTCTAAGAAAAGACTTCCACAGAGGAGGTTGTCCAGACACTTGACTATCAAGACACAGAAATGTGCAGAAGATTATGAAAGGCTGCTACAGATCAGTTCCACATACAGCAAAGCCAGAGACCCTCTTAAGCATAGGGGATGTAAAAATGGAGAATGCATTGTTAATGACCCATGGGGTGTGTTTCTTTCTTCATTCTGTGTTAGCTCTGGAAAGCAGGGACAGGAGAAGCTCTGATGCACACACCAGCTGATCCCTCAGAGAAGCCTCATCTCTGAGGTGAAACAACAGTCAAAGACAGGATAGTGAAGCACATGGGAATGTTTTTTGCCAGCCAGGCTTACACAGGTTAGAACTGCAGTATAAGAGAGGTTCTGCTGCATGGGCTGGAACTGGAGTTAGTGGGGAGCAGCAGTGTTGTACTGACACCTGTGCTCCTTGACTTCTTTTCCTTGGCACTGGGAAGGTGCTGGCCTGCATAATGCCAACCATGAACTAAGCTACCCATTGTAACTTACCATTGTAACTTACTAAAAGATTACTGTAAAGTGCAAAGTTTCTCTGACAAGAAATTATAGGAGTACCTTGGCCACAGGTAGAACTCTTTCCAAACCCATACAAATAATGTCTGACTTAAATACTTTCTAGATCTTACTAAATGTTCAAATATTTAGGTGTATCTCCACAATTTGTGGGTGTTTATTGACCACTTCTTTCTCAGTTCAGTTTTTGGTGTATCTAACTACCATAGAACTGTTTTCTGCATGTAATGAATTGTGAATGAAATTTGGTTGGGAGGCAAAATGCTCAAGAACAATTCACTCAGTGGCTTGCTCATTTTCTTTGGTTATTTGGTTGTTTGGTTTTGTTTCTTTTACAGAAAGAGATCTGTGTTTCTTTGTCTGCCATATATTTATTCTGCCATCATAGTGATAAGGTGTGATAGAAAATGAAACCTTCTGGGGTTTATTTCATATACTTTCCTGTAAACCTCCTTCATGTTTGGCAAACTTGCTTTGCATGTGGAAAACTGAACTGTAACCACTTTGAAACTAGATAATCTTTCTAATTTTTCCTCTGAATTACTTAACATGATCCATAGAAAAGTTTATAATACTCAACATTATTATTTCCTGATGGCCTGATAATTTAAAAAAAAAAAAATTACTTCCTGAATGTCATAATTCAAACATAGTAGATATTTCAAGATGTGATGGCCATGAGATGTTTCTGGAAATTACTGGACTATTGCATGTACAAAGTTTGGTGCAGTGTAGAGGTTTCAGGTTTAACAGGTTAATATGATTCTCAAAACAATCTAATTTTAAAGTAGATATATTTATGCTCGTGTAGATAAAATTCCTCTGTGTGTAATTTTAATATTACTGCTAAAGCAAAATATATCTGCAGTGGAGGGCATGCGACTCCTTGAACAGTTGACTGTCCTAAACAGCTGAGTTAAACCAGTGGTGCCTGGCTTTCAGATCTAATGCCCGCACTAGTCAGTCCTTCCAGTGGAGCTATTATTTTTCTCAATGTTCTAATCTTCTTTTCGCTGGTGTCCCTTTGTAGAAAGTCCTTGAAGCAAATTTCCACCTTCATTTTGTGTCTCCTCTTCCTTCTTTAACACTGTATCCTGTGAACTTTTTAATTTCTTCTTGTGTGTCATGCCAGCTCCTTTGAAGATGTAATGATGCATTCCTTCATTTGTTTAGGACTTGTAGCAACCGTAGTAAGAGGTACACACCAAGATATTTGATATGTAATAAAATGACACCTTAATTTGATTTATTACCAAGAAAAATAGGACAACTGTAATAAGGAAGTCCTGAGTTTGCATATTTGAGCAATTACACACATGTGGAATGGAGCAGGAATGATTGTCATCCTGCTGTGTGAGATTAGGTAAGACCTCACTCCAGTTCCAGTTGTTCATGACCATCTCTCAAAGCCTGAAAGATCTGGAGATGAATGGACATCAGAGATGAGAAGGCTCAAAAGTAGAATATGAACTGGAGCTCACTATAGGAAGGAGTCAAAAGGCCACCTTAGATTTTGAGCAGTCAGTATGTTGCCTCATACAGATAAGATAATTTTGTGTCATCAGTAGATAGATTTATTTACCTCGTGAACTTTTCAAGTTTATTTATATCTGTTCAGGTTTTGCGTTGTCTATTTTGCAACACTTAAAAAGTTGCAGGTCAAAACTAAAATGAACACAATCTTTGCAGGATGTTACTTTCCACTATTCCACATCAGTTTCATATATTTTAAAAATTGTAAATAATCATAATCATATTTCTTTTTGTGGAAAGAAAATATACCATGTTTGTACTCTACAGAATAGTTTGCATAGGTGAAATGCAAGGTTGTTAGGCTTATGACTAAGTTTACTCACTGTAACACCATTCATAAGCTCTTAAACCAGAAAAACAGGGCCAACGCTGCATCAAAGACTCATGAGAGATAAGCTGTCTTAATTTTTCTGAACCTGATTGCCACATGGCAGAAGAGAGGATTGCATACAGAGGGGTGAGGAAGAAGTGGTTGACCTTGTGATTTAAAAAGCTTGGCCATTAGCTCAATAGTCTTTCAGGTTTCACTGCAGAAAAATGTGTTACCACATTGCCAAAATTGTTTTGTAATGTCTCATGCTCTTTTAGGATGTGCAGTTCAATAACATTCTGATCCCTGAAAACCAGAATGTGGATAGAATGTTACATGCTAATGTAACCTTAGCTCTTCCTCATTGAACAGATGATAATCACTTGGAGTTGCCTGATACTGTTCCCATCTTTAGAAGGTGCTGAATTGAGGGATTAGGGGGTTAGCTGGAACAGTTTGAGAAAGCTGTAATTGGACATGAGATGATTCATCCTTCAGTACAGGATGGAGGATGAAGGCTCTCGTCAGGAGCCTGTCCAGTAGATGATCACAAAGTTGATTAGAAAGAGGAAACACCTCTCCTATGAGGAAAGGCTGAGAGGGTGGGGGTTGTTCAACCTGGAGAAGAGAAGACTCCAGGGAGACCTTACTGCAGACTGAATACTTAAGTGGCACTTGTAAAATAGATGGGAGCAAACGTCTTAGCAGTGCCTGTTATGACAGAAAGAGGTGGAAAAATTTTAAAGTGAAGGAGGGTACATTAAAAGTAGATATAAGGAAGAAATTTACAATGAGGATGGTGAAACACTGAAACAGGTTGCCCAGGGAGTTGGTGGATCCCGAGTCTCTGAAAAGATTCAGGTAGGATGGGTCTCTGAGAACCTGATCTTGTTGAAGATGTCCCTGCTCATTGTAGGGGAGCTGGACTAGGTGACTTTTAAAAGCCCTTTCCAACCCAAACTATTTTATGATTATATGATCCACCCCATTTATATGATCAAAAGAAGACAAGAGAGATTCCCAAGATTTACTAAGCGATCCAGAATGGCCAGAGCCAAGTTTTATAGCATTATCAGTGGTGAATTCATGTCAGGGCTTCTGATATACAGGGATCCGTATGTGTTTGTAGGGGTCCATGGCAGGCCTGTGAAAGGATAACATTGTGTAAGGGTTGGTGTGGCTGAGAACAAATAACAGTTTATAAAATTTAGCAGGGTTAATTCTGGACACACGACTAAAAGTTTGAGTGCACAGCTGTGTGGGATGCTTGGTTTAATATGTCTCATGTAGACATGTGCTTAGATTTAGCAATGGGATGGAATCAGTATCAGAGCCTCAATTCTAGAGTGGTATCTTCACAGGCAAAATATATTAATGTTAATTAAGCTACAGATGCTCCAAGAGAGCAGAATTTAGGTGATTTTGGCATACGTCTTAACTTATTTTCAAAAGTCTGAGTGACAATGAACATGGTGCATGGTTGGTATAGGAGAAGAGGGCTAATGCTCATACTTCAAAATAGCTAAAATATCTTAGGCCATTGAGAGACACGAAAAAATTTGTTTAACTTCAAAATC